TTAAAACGATTTCTGATTGGGGTTGGAGAGGTGGCTCAGCACACAACTGTCTGTAATTTCAATGCCAGGAGATTAGATGCCCTCTTCTGGCCTCCATAGGCATGCTTGGGGCACACACATATACTTGCAGACAAAATACTCATATACATAAAATAGGTTTAAACACATAACGTTAAAAAACAAGTTACTGATGAGCCTATTGATTCCTGTTATTAGAGATGGTAGGGCTGGGGAAGAACTGGGGGCCTGATCAAGGCAGCAGCTTGGAGTATTGAGTTGGCAGTAAAGCGTGAGATACATATTTAAACAGATCTAAGCATTGCTCTCCACATGAGTGGTTGAAAACAAGGAAGTGGAAGTGGATGTGAACTCTCTAGCTTGGGTAATCAAGGAGATGGTTCTGCTAATGAAACAGTAAACACAAGAGGAAGCAGAAGTCTGCCATGAGGTCAAGGTGCTGAGTGCAGTGACTGGTGGCAAAGTACTGTCCAGGCTGTTCAAGTGAAGACATCTGTCAGGCGGTTAGGGATGCTTTCCCTGAAAATTAAGTACCAGCTAGAATACAGAGACAACAGATGCTCCGTGTGACCAGAAAGGCACTCAGGACTAGAGATCTGACCTTCACAAGGCAGGGCTCACAGAGGAAGAACACTAAATCCACACAAAGGAGACAAAGGCCGTGGACAATTGATACAGGCTGGCAGTCAAAACCATGAGAGATCACCCAAACAACCAAAGATGAAAATGGACACAGATTCTGAGCAACATCAACATGAAGGAGGCTGAAGTCTGAGCATGGTGGTGCAAGCCTATAAAGCTGAGGTCAAGGCCAACCTGGGCTACGTATCAAGACCCTGCCTGATTCAGAGGGAGGGAGGGGGAGGAAACTAATAATAAAAGCACTAAGAAGGAAGGAATTAACCACCTTTGGCAATAATATATGATCTAAGCCCTCAATAAATAAAAGACAGTGTGCTAACAGGAAACAAGCACACAAGACTAAAAGAACAGGGTGATGCTGGAATGGACCGAGTATACACAAAAATTCATCGAGGAAAAGACGAGCTAAATTAATAACATTGGCATCAAAGCTGTCTAGGAGAAATTATTCAACAACCCACTGTGACCTGCATATGCAGATAAATTCCAAATAGAGCAAAGAGTTCAACGTAATAATGACTCCACAAAATTAATAAAACAAAACTCAACACAACTCTTTTTATTTCCCCTCTCTCTCAGTTTTTTCTGAGATGGGGAGAGGGGCTGGCATCAAACGTGGGCTCCTCCCTCATTAGCTCACCAAGTATAGTATATGGATTCCGGGCATGTACCATCATACCTGGCTCCAAACTCTTAAGAGTGAAATAACAAAATAAATAAATAAATAAGTAAAAATCCTAACGCTTATAGAGTCTTACAATCTGGCAGTCTAGAGAATGTGCCAACATTTAAAAAACAAAAATCATAAAACTTTATATTCCTAGATATGATAGACAGCTGTAAAGAGATCATTTGGGATCTGGCAGCTTTGCCAGTGCAGCTGGGGATAGCCTAGACTACATAGTATAACCACATCTCAACCAAAAACTAAAAGTGAGCTCCTGAGCACAGCTGTGGTGCTTCCACATAAACAAGTAAAGGCCAAGGCTTCAGAGCCAGGTCCACTATGCTACATCTAAACAGAGAAAAAGGAATTCATATTCACCCACAGACAATACCTAGATTTCTACAGCAGGGAATAATAGCTACTCTAAGGATCTCAGAGGGCTGTAATGAAGAACAGATGCAGTGAAACACTTTGGCATACACTTTTAATGTTCTGACTTCTGAACATAAATGCAATACTTTGACACGAGAATTTTTACAATGAATCGAGGAGTAAATTCTGTAAACCAAAGCATTAGATTACATAATAATCTGACAGACCCCCCTCACACACACACAACCAAACAACAAAATACCAGTTCACACTATCATTGTGCTCACCCTACAGTAGACCTACCTAATCACTATATTTAAGAAGCTCAACTAAGTCAGGCGGCAGGGGTGTACACCTGTAATCTCAGTACTCAGGAGGCAAAGGCAAGCAGATTTTTGTTAGTTCAAGGCCAGCCTGATCTACAAGACAAGTTCCAGGACAGAGTAACTCTGTCTTGACAAATCAAAAAAAAGAAAGAAAAAAAGTTCAACTGAGTTGCTAAAGTTATAAGGTAGAGTTGATTTCAATTGAATTGTATCAAAACCTATTCAGTTTCTAAAATTAATGCTTCTATTCATTAGGCAACTCAACTGTTTTATGATAACTTCCAAACTTTTTAGAAATAATATGATAAAAGTACACTTTAAAACCCACAGTGTGAAATACTTATCAGATTAAGCTAAAAAAAAAAATCTAAGCCTAGTCTGTGTTCAGCAGCTGACTGCAACCACTTTCCATAAACCAGTTAACACAGAGAGGCTAAGGCTGAGCATTCCAGTGTATGCAACATAAAGGAAGCACCTGGTGTCACACATTTTCCCAGGATAGTGTCACACAGGAGAGATGAGCTCACCAAATCGCATGCTGTGTAGTGTAACTTTCTACCCTGCCTCCATCCCTCCCACAATGACAGACCTGGTACCCTCTTATAGGCTTCTAAGAGCGCTAAGTGTTAGAGCTCAGAAAACCCTTCTACAGATAAAATGTCATAAAGACAGGACAACTGTTCACAATTTTATCAAAGATATACTTTTTAGCTTTACAAATATAATGACAAAATTGTTTTTAAGTATAGTAAGTGCTTGGAGCCAGACAACAAAAGCATGTCATTTGCTAACCTAAAAGTTAATTTGAGTAAATTTTGTTTCATGCATCAGTATGTTTTGGGGTTTTTTTTTTTTTTTTTTTTTTTTTTTTTTTTTTGGTTTTGGTTTGTTTTTTGTTTTTCAAGACAGGGTTTCTCTGTATTGCTTTGGAGCCTGTCCTGGCACTCACTCTGTAGACCAGGCTGGCCTCAAATTCACAGAGATCCACCTACCTCTGCCTCACGAGTGCTGGGATTAAAGGCATGTGCCACCAACACCTGGCTCCACACCTCAGTATCTTGACTTTCTTAACCTCAAAGCATACTAAGTCTAATTCTAGGATTGTCTTTTTCAAAGAAAATATTACACTATAAAATTTCATTTAGTTGAAAGGAGTGTTACATTTGCAAATGGTATTAATGGTTTACTTTGACTCAAGAATATTAAGAAAGCTGGAGATGGCTCAGCAGTTAAGAGAACTGTCTCCTTTTCTAAAGACAGTGGTTTGGCTCCCAGCACCTATCTGGCGGCTTATAATCATCTGCTATTCCAGTTCCAAGGGACTCACGCCCTCTTCTGGTCTTTGTAGGAACTGCATGAATGTGTTACATTTACATGCAGGCAAACACTCATATACATATAAAAGAACAAAATTTTTAATAAGAAGAAATACTGCATTTTATAAAGTTCACTTTGGCAATTGCTACTTAACTCCAAGCTAGAAGAGGCTAAATTTCAGGCAAAATATCTCTCATTATTTACACTTCATCATATTAAAAGCAAAAAATATTTACCCGTGCCTTTCAATTTTATTCCAGGAAAATAAATCCTACTCTCTCGGGTTCTAGTAATTCCTATATCATTGTATAACAAAACTATCAACAAAACTGGCAGACACATCCATTAATACAGTCAACTCCCTGTACTGGAGGCTCATTTTATCCAGATTAAAAAATGGATTTAATGAAAAAAATGCTATGAATATGAAAGAGAACAAGGAGGAGTACAGGGAGGATTTGGAGGGAGGAAGGAGAAAAGGGGGAAATCATATAGTATAATCAGAAGAAATGATTTTTAAAATATAAATGGAAACAAACTCATCATACAGGCAGAAAATGCATGCAGACACTTACCTACATAATGCATATTAAGAGCCAAATACTTATACTGGAAAAGAGGGTTGTTACTGAGGCTACTTCTTTGGATCTGCTGGAAAAAGGAGCTGACGTCCCATCTGTAGAGGACATCCAGCAGCATGATGCTCGGCACCCTCAAGGCCACGTTCAACACTGCCTCCAGTTTCTCCTTTGCAGCCATGGTTTTTTTTTTGATTGTTTTCTGGAGGAGACCTAAAGGTGAGAAGAAAAGTCAACACAGACCATCTTTGGAGAGCCTCCCAAAAACCTAAAGGGTTGTCCTGCAAACATCTCTACCGTTCCCGTATTTACATTACATCAAAATACTCTCACTTTCAGATATGCCCCAACATGATTCAGACTAAAGGTTCATACTTCAAAACTTAAAGAAGCCACTACTTCATATCTCCTAACTTAGCAACAAAATACCACCGTGACAATGCTCCAATTTGAAGAAAATACCGTCCCTATGTAGCTGTCTGAGACAGACTTACCTCTCCAAGAGGAGGGGAAATGTTAAAAATATTCCCTAAATGAGTAGAAGACTAAAGTACTAATGAAAGCATGGCGGGTTTAGTTCTCTTCATCTTACATTCGTCCTTATCCCTAACGGTTCATAATCAAAACAGAAGAACTAAGTATTGCTTTTGTTCCTTTTTACAGTGCTAGAGACCAAACCCATGGCCTTGCACCTGTGAAGCAAGTCTGTATACCACGGAACAGTCCCAGCTGAATACGGAACACACAAGGCAGAGAATTTTCCGGGAAGACACAAAGAGGCACAACTTGCTCCTAGTCGCTCTTCAGAGATGGAAAATGAGGCTCACTGCGTGAGTGGCAGCAGACTGCATGGCCTTGGGAGATGCCAGGCACTAGGTCTTATGGTCTTTGCTTATACAGTGACAAGCACAGACAGAATGGAAAGAAAAGGGGGGAAAGGAACCAAAAAGCAGTTATCAGGATCTCAGAAAGACAATTTGATGAAACAGCTACAAGTTAATCCAAGGAATGTGCACAAGGCAAACGCAAGTAGGTGAAGGACAGCTTTGAGAGTAAGGAGAATTCTGGACTCTTGGCTCTGACGATATCCTTTTAAGAATTTTGCTGAGAAAGCTAAATGCATTCCTAGCTTTGGCAGTAATTTCAGACATTACAGGAGAAAAGAAGACATTTATTTTTGAAGGAGATTATCGTGACAGATTGCTGTGCTACAGTCAAGAATTTGTCAGTGTTCCCATCGTCCTCGGAAATGGCTGCGAATTCCTTAGCTCTGACACTGTGAACTCCAAAGAACTAGGCTTAGCACATCATTCACAGGTTTCTACTGACCCTATGTCAATCATTCCCATAATGGAAATGTTGTCACATATGCAGCCATGCTGCCAATAATATTACCATTGCTTAATTGATAAACTGTAATTCTAATGACTTTAAATAAGTAAGAGCTTTTAATTGTTTTCCTATACGAAAAAAATACACTGTGAGGCTCAACAAAGTAACTCTGGCCTAGGAAGAAAACTATCATGAAAAATAAAAACTCTTTAGCCAGCCATAACTGCAAACCACACTGTTGAGAAATTCAATAAAGGCAGTAGTTCTCAATCTTCCTAATGCTGCAACCCTTTAATACAGTTCCTCACCTTGTGGTGAACCCCCAACCATAAAATTATTTCATTGCTACTTCGTAACTGTAATTTTGCTATGAATCATAATATGAACACCTGATAAGCAGGATGTCATATCCAAAGGGGCCGAGACCCACAGGTTGAGAAGCACTGACCGCTACTACAGTCAACCCTGCGTATCCAGAGGTTCTGCATCTGTGCAGTCAATAATCTCAGCTCGAAAACATTGAAATGGTTGTTCTGAATATGGTTTTCTCATCACTGTTCCCTAAGGAATATAAAAACTACCTACTTAGCTCATACATTGTATTAAGTACTCTAGGGATGGTTTGAGCATGGCGTGGGTGCAATTGAGTCTACTCAGCAAGTACGGAGTGCTTGCTGCAAAGTCTTACAGCCTGAGCTTGATCCCTGGAAACTACATGATGAAACAAGTCGTCCTAGGACCCACTCCAAGACCACTCCCCGGATAAAAATGAATATAATTTAATAAAAGCATACAGGAGGATGTTCTCAAGCTATATGCTGTTTAAGTAAGGGACCTGAGCTCATGCAGGTTTGGGTATCTAAGGGATGTCCTATACCCTAGAGAGAAAGGGAAGAAGCACTATATAACCGCAGCCTTAACAATATACTGGAAAAAGACTGTTTCTGCGTATTCTAGAATCCAATGTAAATCACTACTGCCATTTGTGTAACAAACAGAAGTGGGCATTACTGAGTTGATATTTATGGTCAGTATTCATCTAATTTGGTGCCTTCCTCTGTGTTTGTTACTTTTAAATTGATCATATTTCCCATTTATTATAACTATAAAAGAGAAAAATTACGCACATACTCCTGTTGTGGAAATCTAGATCTGAATGTGGACAGAAAGAAAAAAAAAGTGCCGCTTAATCCTTATAGGGATCACCTAACAAAAGAAATCCATTAACAGAAAGGTCCTTGTTCCCTGGAAATTCCCTCCTATATCTCCTATCTCACAAATATAACACACAAACAAAACCCAAAACAAACAAAACCAAAGCAAAAGGAAACAAACAAAAACAAACCTTGGGTCTCTAAAGCTATCAGTTTAGAAGAATATCCAAGAAACAAAGATCAGCACAATTATCTCAAGAGTTATCTCACAAACATAACACAAACAAAACCCAAAACAAACAAACAAAACCAAAGCAAACAAACAAAAACAAACCTTGGGTCTCTAAAGCTATCAGTTTAGAAGAACATCCTAGAAACAAAGACCAGCACGATTATCTCAAGAGCTAAACATCCTTCTAAAAAAACTGGAGTAGATAAAGTTAGCCCATATAAGAACAAACGCATTACTTATTTAATGTTTCCTTCATTCCTGGACCCGTTGTAAGTTATTAGTAAGCTGCCCATAGAAGTACATGGGAGCACTCAGGAGGCAGACGCAGGGGGATCTCTGTGAGTTGTAGGCCAGCCTGATCTACAAAGCAAGTTCCAGGACAGCCAAGGCCACACAGAGAAACCCTGTCAAAAAAAAAAAAAAGTAATACATGGGAGAAACACGTTAATAGCAACCCCATCTCTCAGAAGTTCGTAACTCTGAACCTTTCTGAAGTAGACATACATAAGAACAGGTAGGAACCATCACAAATAAAAATCAACACTCTATAGTCTAGCCCCCTGCACTAAACCAGTTTTCAACCTTCCTAATGCTGTGATCCTTTAAAACAGCTCCTCATGCTGTGGTGACCCCAACCATAAAATTATTTTTGTTGCTACTTCCTAACTGTAATTTTGTTACTGTTATGAATCATAATGGAAGTATTTTTGGAGATAGAGGGTTGCCAAAAGGACCGCACCTCACAGGTTGAGAAACACAGCACTAACCCAACATCTAGACACAATTCAGAGGTATCTGCTATGTTTGTAGAAGCTTGAGATTACTTATACCTTCCAAACTGCTACATTATAAGAACATGAAGCAAAACCGCAGCCTTCTGGGCCAGCAAGATGACTCAGTACTTCAGTCATTTTCAAACAAGCCTGAGGACCTCAGTTCAGTCCCTAGGACCCACATGGCTGAAGGCAAGAACTCTTAAGTAGTTCTCTGACCTCCATACCGAAGAGGTATGCACACTTGCTCACACAGAGACATTAAATAATAGAAATTATATATCCTTAATGATTTGTTCAAACCGAATATATTTTCCCAGGTCTAGTGTCAAACAGGACTAATGAGCATTTATAAAATTGGAGCTCATGATTCTCTTAAAACAGGAACACCAAAACCAGAAGGTTTGACAAACCCAAATCCAAATATATAAACTTTCTACACTATCTTCTGATCTTTCCTACAAGATTGAAAAACTTCCTTGAGATATGCAAAGAACTGGAAATGAATTTTCCATCATGTTTCTTTAAACATAAAAAACTAAAGATGCCTCAAACCTACTTCATACAGCACAGCAGCTAAAAAATGAAAAATCTTCTTCCCAGAAACAGAAAGGATGGTTCAATAAATGCTCACCAGAAGCCAAACCCTAGCAGTTTTAGGACATGCCTTTCCAAGGCTTGGAAACAGCAACAGCAATCTTGAATAATGTGCATAGTTTATCATTGAATTTGTGGGTCTGGAAACACAGGGTCCTCATTCTACATTTTCCTAAATCTACCATATTTAGTTTTGAATTGGAAGAAATCAAATAAAGCATCCTTAATAATAAAAAAAAATGTAATGGCTCAGCTCTGCTGAAAAACTATCTTAAACTGAAAAAAATAAGTGTGCTATTACAAACAAGTAAAATAAAGGACTCCTACAACTCCTTAACTCCCTTTTAAAAAAAGACAAAGCAAAAATTAGAATAATACATGACTCAATTTAATTACTGATGATTTAAATTGATAATATAGATAATCTAGGGCTGAAAGTTACACCTCTTTGTTCACCTGAAAGACGGTAAACAAAATCATCTTTTAACCTTCTTTTCTTACCCTCGGCAATTAAAGAAAAATTCTAAATCAACTAAAACTGATGGCAAGCAGATCGGGGGAGGGAGGCTGTCCATCTGTTGGGATGCTAAGACTTAAAAAAGTAAAAAAGTGAGAGGGCGAGGCT